GGGGGGGTGATTGGTCACCCAGGGAGGAGGCATCTAGTCGAAAAGATTTTGTCGCACCCTCGCCCCCGAACGGAAATCCTTGGTACGCCACTGAGGGAGGGGTGGGGGGAGGGGTACTCCGTGGTCATGTGCACAGTTCTTGTCCAGCCCAGTTTATTGTCCCTAAAAATGGATCAAGTAAAAGGGAAGGTGATCACTGGTCATTCAGATGCTAGATTCTTTCTTAACCAAACGAAATGTCATAAATCGTATGTTGGCTTACCGACAGTAACCCGGCGGACTCTTGCCTACCCTTACGACATTATTTGCCCTCATTTGTACATTCAACGCAAGGTAAATCACCTTTGCTCGTCAGAATCAATGAGCCGAGGGGATCATCAACAAAGGACAGCCTATATTCAAACTTCTCGCTCCCAATTTCTGTAATGCTTCAGCACTTCGATAGGCCCACAAGCACGGGAAGGGAAGCGACATGGGAAAGCGAGGCATGTTCGAAATGATGCTGCAGCTACGCTCGCTCGCGCCTCTCGCAAAAGCGCGCCGTTTCCGCAGCGGCTTCAATGCAAACAAATTTGACTGAGGGGAATGGAAGTGAGAGAACAAAGCTAGGCAGCATTGCAAAGTCCTTAGACATTAGAAGCATCTGCCCACATTACTGAAGAATCCAATTCGCACAACACCACGCAATGAACTCTGTGCGACTAAAAAAGAGCAAGGATGCCGTTACAAATACATAGATATACAGATCAAACTTACTGATTGTGTCAACTCTCAGGTCAGCGGGAGTTATTCGCAGATACTGCGCACCACTAGAACGGCACTTGTTGGCCGCCACCACGTCAGTATGTTGCGGACCCTCAGCAGAGTCAACGACAATAAAATCCGCCTGGAACCAGAATTATGTCAAACAAGAAGTACTTTACCTTTTTTTACGTTATTTGTTCGCTCCCTTCATGACAACATCCATAGGAGCCCAACACTCCGTGATGGGGCCCTGTGCGGATCGGCGCGACCGCCTCGTCTGGGCAGTGCGTCTGTTTATTCCTCTTTCGAACCTGATTTTTGATCATTCCACCACAGCGCACGAGGGACGGAGCTTCAATCGCTAATTTAGCTGGAAAACGATTTGAGCATGCTCGCGAAAGAGGTGGGAGCCCAAGTGAGGCGATCGCGCGGGACTCCAGCCGCACGAGCCCCCTCACTCCTAAAAACAGAGTTTTCCTATCAGACAAGACAGCATATGACTGGAAATGATGACGAGAGATAGCGTTGTTTACGCAAGTATCCACCACAACCACCCTGTGCGACTGATAACAGGTCACGTAGCCAGCAAATTTTTATTCCCCCCCC